CCGCTCGCTAAACTGGGTTTAACCTCCAGCAAGGTTAAACTGAAATACATGTTAATGATCATTAAGTAGGCGTTAACGAGCCTGGTCTCTGCAGTCAACAGAGACTTTGTCTGGCTTTAATGTCCAGAGAACCTCAGGCTGAAGCTCAGGGGTTAACTTCTCAGCAGAAATGCTAAATTCGAAAGAAAAGCCTTTTTTAAATTAAAATAAAAAAAAGCTGAAATGTTCCAAATTAGCTTGCCAGAACTCGGTGGGACTGCTGCAGGCTACATTTCTCCATATACACGGTGGAGAAATGGAAGCACATGTAATTAAAATGATTCAATAAGCCCATTTGCAGGATATTTGCTGCAGAAAGCACCTGGACGCTTTGCAGGGCTGTTTGTTAGGCAGCAAGGCTGCAGGAGCTGCAGTGTCCTGGGGGTGCAGGATGGCAAAACAGGGGCAGAGGATGCGGTTCCTCAATGGGAATCACTCCCCAGCAGATCTCCATGCTTTAATACAGGATGAAGTGGACACACACTCGGCCCTACCTTCCCACCGGCTCTCCCCGAGCTGCAGAAGACATATTCCAGCTGGAAGCAGATCCCAAATGCTGGGTGAGGCACCATCTCGCTCAGGTGGATGCGGCTCCTCAGCACCAGGGCTTGACCTGCACCCCTGCACCAGGATGGAGAGCGGCTGAGGGCAATGCACAGGGCAGGAGGGAAGCGGCACAAGCAGTGGAGGGTCTCCTCCTTACCTGGCTCCGGTGCTGGGCACCCCCATGCAGCCACCCCGCGCTGCCTCTGCCTCTGGCACCAGCACAGCCACCTGCGGTGCCTGGACGAAGCACAGCCCGTTGTGGACACCAACATGCAGCCGCCGCTCCCGAACCACCATCCCATCGCCATCCGGAGCGGCGTTAGCCTGCGACAGGCAAGTTCTCAGCTGGGGTAGTGAGGAGGCACAGCTTCCCTCCCCAGGCCGCCCACAGCCAGGGAAGTGCAGGCAATCCCATCGGAAACCCAAAGAGCAGGATCCACCCCCACGGTGGCTGATGAATATGAAAATCGTCCATCTTTATGGCAGAGCTGGTGCAAACATGACAAATAAAGGACTTGGCCGCTGGTCCTGAGCGCTGCTGTTCCCAAAGGGACATACTCCATGTGCTCTACATCTTATCTTTGCATTTTCCCCAAACCCAAGTTCTGCTTATTAATGTCTGGATGTTCAAAACAAAGCCTACACAGAGCACCTGGGTGCTCAGCCAGCAGTAAAGCAAGGAGAAGGCTTGTACAGCAAAGAAAATCAAGGACTCCGTGCAAAACAAATACCATTTGTCTGAACCTTTCCACTCCACCCTTAAATGAAGCACCAACATCACTGCACTGGGCTTGCCCCTGCTTAACTTCACCAGCAGTACCTGAAGCAGGCGATCGCTGTTCAGCAAGTCCAGCAGCTCCTCCTCAAATTCCTCCAGGGAAGGGTACAGACAGACAGACAGCCTCTCCAGATAGCAGGTCACCGGCTTCATCAGCTGCGGCTTCTGCAAGCAGCCACCTGAAAAGACAAGGTGGTGGCCACAGGTCACAGTGTGGCCAGGGG